TCATGGAGATATGTTTTTACTTTGTGGCATTCAACTTGTCTTTTAACTTTTATTGCCAAAAAAAACCTTTCTTATCATTATCTGGGACATCTCTCCATAGATCTTGCTCATAACTTGACCAGGTGGCGTCACTTACTCGTCTCCATGGAGATACACGCTGTAAGTTTAATGCCATACCGTGGGGCTTTCCAGGAAACGATACATTGACATATAATTTGATTTGCACTGCGGTTCGGCAAATGAATTAACCTGACATGTGTCGACCAGCTGCTAGTCTCCACGGAGATGTTTTTGCTTTGCCTGAGATGTTCCACAGTATCGCATTTTGTTTTAATTTGATGGCCAAAAAATAGCGTTCTTAGCGTTATCTGGGGTCGCCTCTCCGTAGATCTTGACCAGGCGGCGTCACGTACTCGTCTCCGCGCAGATAAATAATGCCATAGTGTGAAATATTCCAGGCAAAGCGGTAAAATTTCCATGGAGACTAGCAGACCCAACGTGTTACATAAGCGTGAAATGGGCGCGAGAGCGGGGAGCGACATTCGGCACGTCGACATTACAGCGCCGGGGATTGCGCGTTTCTTGAATGCTCGCTGTAACGTCACCCCAGGGCCACGCAGAGGTGCATTGTGGGTCTCATTTCTAACACATATCACAGACTAACAGGGCGAAGTCTCCCGGGGAGGAACCCGCTGAGCACTTCTGAAGATTTGAGAAGAGAGGGAGGAGAGAGAGAAGAAAAAGAGAGAGGGCGGAAAAGCAGGAGGGATGGGGAGAGTGGGTTGAGAGAGGCGTGAAAGAGACGAGAGAACGGGAAGAAAGAAGGAGAGAGAGAGAGAGGAAACGGGTTTAAGAGAAACAGGAAAGAGAGTGAGTGAGTAGTGACAGTGACAGATGAAGAGAAAGAGAGAATTGTGTTTTTAAGCAGACTTATTAAGAGAGAGACCTGACACAGAGGGAAAGAGAAAGTGTAGAATATACAGAGAGGACAAAGAGAGGCAAAGGAAACAGAAGGGGGAGGAAAAGGGAAAGGGAGAGAAAGAGAGGAGTGAGAGATGGTAAGGCAGAGAGAGAGAAAGGGAGTGAGAGAGGGGTAAAGCAGAGAGAGGAGAGAGAGAGAGAGGGAGAGGAGAGAGAGAGGGTAAAGCAGAGAGAGAGAGGGGGAGAGGAGAGAGAGGGTAAAGCAGAGAGAGGAGAGAGAGAGAGAGGGAGAGGGGAGAGAGAGGGTAAAGCAGAGAGAGAGAGGGGGAGAGGAGAGAGAGAGGGTAAAGCAGAGAGAGAGAGAGAGAGAGAGAGGGGAGAGGAGAGAGAGAGGGTAAAGCAGAGAGAGAGGAGAGAGAGAGAGAGAGGAGGGAGAGGAGAGAGAGAGGGTAAAGCAGAGAGAGGAGAGAGAGAGAGAGGGAGAGGAGAGAGAGAGGTAGAGAGAGAGAGAGAGAGAGAGAGAGAGAGAGAGAGGGAGAGGAGAGAGAGAGAGAGGGTAAAGCAGAGAGAGAGAGAGAGAGAGAGAGGAGAGAGAGAGAGAGAGAGAGGAGAGAGAGAGAGAGAGAGAGAGGGTAAAGCAGAGAGAGGGAGAGGGAGAGGAGAGAGAGAGGGTAAAGCAGAGAGAGGAGAGAGAGAGAGGGAGAGGAGAGAGAGGGTAAAGCAGAGAGAGGGAGAGGAGAGAGAGGGTAAAGCAGAGAGAGGAGAGAGAGAGAGGGAGAGGAGAGAGAGGGTAAAGCAGAGAGAGGGAGAGGAGAGAGAGGGTAAAGCAGAGAGAGAGAGGGGGAGAGGAGAGAGAGAGGGTAAAGCAGAGAGATGAGAGAGAGAGAGAGAAGAGTGAGAGAGGTTAAAGCAGAGAGAGGGCAGATAGAGTGAGAGAGGGAGAGGAGAGAGAGGGTAAAGCAGAGAGAGGGGGAGAGAGAGAGATAGGAGGAACAGAGGGTAAAGCAGAGAGAAAAAGTGAGAGAGAGAGAGAGAGAGACACAGAGAGAGATAGGAGTGAAAGAGGGTAAAGCAGAGAGAGAGAGTGAGAGGGAGAAAGGGTAAAGGGGAGAGGAGAGAAAAAGAAAGACGGGAGAAAGTCTGAGAGAATAAAAAGGAGAAAGAAATAGACAGGAAAGGGGAGAGAGGCAGAGAGAAGGGAGAGAAATTAAAAAGAGAGAGGAATTAAAAGAAGTCAGAGAGAATAGAGAGGAGAAATACAGGGGGAAGGAGGGAGAGAGAGGAAAGAAAGAAGTCATAAAAAGATGAGAAAGAGGAGAGAGAGAGAGAAGGGAGAAAGCCAGGGAGTATAGAGAGGAAAAACAGAGGAAAGGAGGGAGAGAAAAGAGGAGAAAGAGATGGAGAAGGGGAGAGAGAAAGGGGGGAGTGAGAGAAGGGAGATATAAAAAAAGAGCAAAGTAATAGAGAGAAGAGAAAGAAAGGGAGACAGAGGACTGAGAGAGGGGATATAGATGGGAAAGGTAAAAGAACGAGAGAGAGAGAGAGAGAGAGAAGCGAGAGAAGGGAGACATGAAAAGAATAATGTAATAGAAGAGACAGGGAGAATAGAGAGGAGAAATAGATGAGAAAGAGGAGAGAGAGAGAGAGGAATGAGAGAAGAGAGATAAAAAAAGAGCAAAGTAGTAGAAGGAGAGAGAGAGGGGGTGTCAGAGAGAAGAAATAGATAGAAAAGGGGAGAAAGCGAGAGAGAAAGGAAGCATGGAAAACAAAGTAATAGAAGGGAGAGAGAGGGAGTGAGAGAAGAGAGAAAGTCAAAGAGAACAGAAAAGAAAGGAGAGAGAGAAGGGAGATATAAAAAGAGCAAAGTAATAGAGGAGAGAGAGGAGACAGAAAGGAAGACAGATGACCGAGAGAAGGGAAATAGATCAGAAAGGAGAGAGAGAAGGGTGATATAAAAAGAACAAAAGCGAGGGGAGAAAGAGAGAGAACAGAGAAGAGAAAATAGAAAGAAAAAGGGGGAGAGAGAGAGAAGGGAGGCGCAGAAAACAAAGCAATAGAACGGAGAGAGAGGGCGAGAGAAGGGAGAATGTCAGAGAATAAAGAGGAGAGAGGGAGGAAAGAGAGAAAGAAGACATGAAAAGAGGAGAGAGAGAGAGAGAGATGGTAGAACCAGAGAGAGAAGGGAAATGGATGGGAGAAGAGAGAGAGACAGAGAGAGAGAGAGAAGGGAGAAAGTGAGAGGAATGAGAGAAGGGAGATAAAAAGAGCAAAGTAATAGGAGAGGAGAAACAGAAAAAAAGAGTGAAAGAGAAAGAGAGAAGGGAGGCATAACAATAAATTCATAGAAGGGAGAGAGAGGAGTGAGAGAAGGGAGACAAAAAGAAGAGAGAGAGAGAAAGAGAGGGGAGAAATAGGTGGGAAAGGAGGGAGAGAGAGAAGGGAGATATCAAAAGAGCAAAGTGATAGAGGAGAGAGGGGGAAAGAGGAGAAAGAAAATGAGAGAGGGGACAGAGATAAGGGAAAAAAAGATGGGAAAGGTGAAAGAGAGAGAGAGGAGTGAGAGGAGAAAGGATGGACGCAGGGAGAATAGAGAGAGATGAGAAAGAGGAGAGAGAGAGAGAGATAAAAAAAAGCAAAGTAAAAGAGGGGAGAGAGAATAGGGAGAAAATCGGAAAGAATAGAGAGGAAAGGAAGGGAAAGACGGAAGGGAGACATAAAAAGGAAGAAAGAAAGAGAGGAGTGAGGAAAAGAGAGACAGAAAAAGAACAAAGTCGTAGAGGAGAGAAAGAGAGAGAGAGATGACATAAAAATGTGGAGAGGAGAGGGTTAAATTTGGGGGTGTGAACACTGGAGCTGCTGCTGTGCTCTCGGATTCACTGCAAACTGAACAGCAACGGAGAGAGAGAGAGAGAGAGACCACGGACTCTTCAAACCCAAGAAATCCGAGAACGAATTTCAATCTGGAATATTTCTACACAAGAACGAAATACGGGAAGAAGTTTCAGATAAAGGGGAAATTTGAAGGATCCGGCTGAGAACTTTTCTTTGGATTTTCTTCCTCAAGCAAAACCTGAAGGTAGGAAAGCAAAAAAAAGGAGCAAAGATGGAAGAAGTTTGAAATTTCAGAATGGATTATCGGAATTGTGGGAATCTTCCTGGTTGAAAATTGTAATTCCTGAAGGGAGATCTTTGTAAGAACTTCTCGAAAACATGGAGAGTTGAAAATTGGAAGGCAAAAACAAACAGGCGTCGCGTAAATTAACATCGAAAACTTTTAAGAAACTACAACGTGGAATTCGAAGATGTTCAGTCGATCATGGGGAAAGACGGGAATTTTGGAAAAAAATTTAAGTAAAAAATTGGAATAAAGAACTTCCACCGAGAATAAATAATAGTAAACAACAACTCGGAACTTTTAAATTTAGTTTCACGGCAGATTTTGAGTTACGTTGAAGAGTCCAAAACGAAATTTGAGTTTGCAACGGCGAATTAGAAAATTATTGTGAATTTTTTTGTTTGCATGAACATTTCTCATTTATAAGATTACAACTGCGCAACCGAAACAAATTTGAGTGGACATTTTCAAATCAAAGCGTTGAAAATTAGAACGGGAAGAAGCGGATACGTAAATTGAAAACCGGACTATTTTGAAAATTAGAGTTCGCTCAAGATTATTCGCATGGATTCAAACTGTAAAAGCAATTTCGAGGTGGACATTTTCAGGAATATTGGATCGACAAAGTGAAGTGTAGAATTGTGGAGCTTCATTTTTCTTTTAATAATTTCTTTTAATTTTTTAAATTTCATGCTAAGAAGGTACCAAACTACAATTTCTGAGGTATAAAGTTCTCAAACCAAAATCTAATTTAGGACCCCAAAGCGATACTTCGTTCCTTTTACTTACTGCGAGATTTCATTTTTGAATTTCATCCAAGCAAATTTCCAATTACAAGGACTGAAATTTTTTACAGACAACCGAAATCGAAGCGGACAATTTCCCCGCCGAAACCTGGAATATTGGAGCTCAAATTTGTACGCGCCTTTTGGATATAAAATTGAGACTTGTTCCGACCATCGGCATGGACAAAGTGGAGCGAGTGATGAAACTGGTGAAGAGGATGTCTCCGAGGAAGAGGAGGAGAGTGGGAGGACAAGGAGAAGCGGAGAGCCCGGACACACTGTGCGACGAGCTGTGCCGTTTCAGTCTCTGCATCAGCGGTGAGAGAGAAAATCACTTTGTAAATATGTGGAAATAGGTGGAAATGGCTGGAGTATAGTCGCTGTGTTAAACTGTAAATAATGATTCTGCTGTTTGGCCGCTCTAAATACGATCATTTTGTATTTTCATGGCAACAAAGGTGATTTTCTAGCAATATACATAGGGATATACTAAATAATAATGAATCTAAATTGATGTGTTGCCGTGACCTCGCGCTGGGGGTGTTGTACATGCAGTTACCATGGTGACGCAATGCACACATAAATCAAAAAGAAAGCAAAAACATAGCTAAAAAAGTTTTAAGTTATATATATTGGACATAACTAATGAAAAGACGTTCCTTTTCTAAATAGTGATGGGGAATGAATAACAAATAAACCGTGAAACAAACGTACAGCTGTTTTTTAAAGCCACTGTTGAGTCTAGGGATGAACGATCGATTGTTTTGGACTGAAAATCGCAATCTCAGACAACACGATTTTGGGAGCGTCAAAGCCGTGTTTTTTTGCAGTGCTCCTAAAGCCCAATTTAAGGGCGAAGTTCAGTTCTGCGTCGACTCAACGCACACTGCCGCCTTCGCCTTGTCGCTTTCGTTTTTGATTTATAGGTCTGCACTGAGGTACATGCGCTGTGAAGTAATTCACCACCACAACGCTAGGAGTCGAAGATTTAAACCTGTCGTTCGTGTAAAGTTTAACATGAACCATCTTCAACGAGACAGAAGGATACAAGAACAGACTCACCATCATCAGCACATCCTCTGTCACAGGAAGAACACTCATATTCCACTAAGTTGTGTCCTTTAGTCCTGCAGAAGCTGAACCGCATCAGCGCACAAGGAGCGAGCTGTTGTTTTCAGCGCTTATAGTTTGTGCAAATGAGCCATGGGGTTGAAGATTTGTTTCTGTAAAATGTAAACAAATGTGCACAAAGCTGAATTAAACACATTATTGCTCAAACGTGTATTGACAGAAAGGAAAGCAGAATACAGGAAATGTATGTAAAGCGTAAATTGGGCTTTACTCTCCAGCGTCAAAACGAAATAATTGAAAATCACAATATCAGCCAGAAAAATCGCAATAGATTGTTTACTTAAAATCGTTCAGCTCTGGTTGTGTCGTTATTCTTTCATTAAATCCAACTCCATGTAAAAGTATACCAAGTATTAAGAATACACTACTCTGATTAAACCATGTTTCAGAACACTTTACAAAATACATGTTAATCCAAGTATTCAGCACCCTGTGACTAAATACTTTTGTTGTTTTTCCCATCACTGGTCTCCGTAGTATAAGTCGCACCAGCCAAAAAATGCATAATGAAGAAGAAAAAAACATATATTAGTCACACTTAAATTACAGTAACAACAATAGAACAGAGAACAACAGACTGTTAACGTCACATATGAACAGTTCTTCAGATAAACTATAACATAAACAACAGAACAGAACAAGTGTAACAAACTCTACATCTCACGCCAAATCACTAAATCCATTCAATTCTTCATCCTCGGTGTCACTTCTGAGCAACTCTGTGACCTCCGGAGGTAAACAGAGCGCCGCTTCCTCTTCTGTGTAGCTGTCGTCAGACTCAGCATCAGTTCCATTTAGAATTGTTCCGGCCTTTCTGAATCCCGACAGGATGGTTTCGGTGTCACTGAAGTCCAGGCTTTGTCAGTGACTTCCAGGAAAGTTTCACGGTGCACCTTCCCGGTGTCACAAGTTTCTCACTCACTCCAGACTTTCTTTCTGTTGCTCGATTATCATTTTCAGCTGCATATTTCGCTGCTTGCTGCTTCTTTTTGGGGCCATTTGTGTTCAGTCTTCTCAGTTGTCTTTATAAGTTTGTTTAAAGTTAAAATTTTCAGTGACACAGAAGTAATGGTGCGATCGACTGACATGATACAGACAGGACAGAGGCTCTTTCTGCAGGAGACATGTGCAGCGAAGTGATAGTGACACAGGAGTAACAAGAGCAGCAGATACTGACACACAAGACTAGAGCGCCCTCTCACTGCTGTCAGTGTGAACATTTTAATATATAAGAACTTCTTTTGACTGGAGCTAAACGCTGTGGGTGACGTCACACTCCCTTAGTCCACTTCTTTAAACAGTCTATATAATACTAGAGACGTGCTAAAGGGTTTGAGGTGATTGACACGTCTGAAAAATCATACTTTAACGTAGGTGTAGGTGTTTTTCCAACAAAGTAAAGGTGTGAGGTGACAGCGGCACAGTCGGCAAGGTCCTACCAGTGCAGTTTAAATGCTGAAGGCTACAATTACACAAACCTCTTGAAGTGAAGGAAGATAAAATGAGGCACTAATGTTTTCTATCCAGGCTCTTTTGTGGTTCAGTGGGTTTGTCATTGGCCAAAACCAGCTGGATTTTTCCATTATATGAGATGTTTCCAAGTCACTCCTTAAAAGGCCCATATTACGCTATTTTCTGATCCATGTTATAATGTTGTTTCCTCATTAAAGACATATCTGGAGTTGTATTAAGGCAGAGTTCTTCTCTCACATGAAAAAAAAACTTTGTGATGTCATGTTGTAATACAAGAGGTACTAATAATGAAGCGTTATTCAGTGAATTAATGAAAGAATGAATGACACAAACACAACTCCAGATATGTTTTTGATGAGGTAACAACATTTTAATATGTTTTAAAGCTCATAAGAGATTTTTGTCCAATATAAGCCCTTATTTTTTATTTTTTTTATTTATTTTTTAAATTCAGGCCTTCTGTTTACAAACCCTGTGGTCTAATATGACAGGACACATATTATTCATTATATTGTTGTTGACCTTTACTTTGGCATCTCATATTTTACAACTTCAAATAATGACCATGTGTAGAACCTAGGGATGTAACAATAATCGAAATATCGTGAAATAATATCGTGGGCCATCGCAACATATCGAATCACAAGTCTCTTTGCTTTAAATTCGTTGTTTTGGTGCAGCAGCAGCTAAAAAATTGTGGGAACTACACAGACCATGATCCTTTGCTCTGTTTCAGTCCAATCTACATGCTGAAATAAGGAATTTATAATCATAATTTTTTGACTAGAGAAAATTTGTATGCTCACAATTTTGTATTATTATTATTATTTTTATTTTTATTTTTTGGCCTTCACAAAATATCGCAATAAATATCGCACTGTGAGATGGATATTATGAGAATATCGTATCGAGACATGTGGATATCGTTACATCCCTAGTAGAACGAGACATTATTTTCCAGCTTGAGTGCTCCCTATACTGGAATCCAGGTGTAGGGCTCCATCTACTGGCAGCAGAGGGAATTACCATGAGAAAAAAAAAAAAAAAAGTTAGCAAATCAGGAATATACCCTGACATGTTAATATAAACACACATTTGTATTGAGCGCAATGTGACTGCTAATTATGAGGTGGGTTCCAATAGTGCCCAGGAGAGATCCCTAGATTACTCAAACATACATGGATGACTATATTATAACATGGTAGAAAGCTCCAGTTAGTCAGTTTTGCATAATACTCCTGTTACGACCCCCAAAAAATGAATCCCAACATATATTTTTTTTGTTTTCTTTCTGACTTTGTAGGTGTTGAAACCAAAAAAAGAAAACCCTTAACCTGTGCCCAAAAAACTAAGAAAAAGTAATAACAGAAAGGTGGACCTGATGAGCCGCCCAAACAGAACAAAAAAGTGCGACTCTGGGCCAACCCCATACAGGACTGCAGAAGCCAGTGCCAACACTTGTAACTAAAGACAAAAAAAAACAAAAAAACTATAAACCTAAACCCACTGGAAAAGCGAAAACAGGACAGCAGGTCTGACCAGGTCAAAACAAAAGGCTAATGACTAACAAAAAGCTACCAAAACGAAGGAGCAAGGCGGCTTCCAGCGTTACCTGTGAGGCGCAGTGGAGGAGGAGAGTGAGAGGGAGCGAGAGGTGGCATTGGGCTTGCACATTTAACAGCTCTTGCCAGAAATTAGGGTAAATATATAATTTACATCTGCAAAACATAACTATAACTTACCAAAAACTAGGGGAAAAATAATACAAAAAAATATAGACAATAAAAAACAGGGGGAAAACAAAAGGTGACCAAACATAACAACTCTCTCTTTAAAGGTTCTATATTACACAGAATTGACTCTTGTGAGCTTTACCTCCTCAAAAACTTACCCGGAGTTGTGTTTTTTTTTCCCTTCACGTGCTCAAAATGCTCTGTTCCACCTTGTGATGTCATGAAGTGGTAGTTTTCAAGTGAACAGCTACCTTATTATCTTTTGTTTAGTAGAGATTGCCAATTCAGATTCAGGTGTGAAATGATCCAAATGATTCTAGTGAAGGTGTATGGAGTTAAAAAAAAAACACAGTGGAGCACTTCCTGTATTACCTTATGACATCACAAGGTGGAACAGACAGTTTGATGGAAGAAGACAGCCTAAATATGCAGGATTTGCATGTTAAATAGGAGTGTGCAAAAATACTGAAATATCGATAGATCGTATTGTTTAATTTGATGATACAGTATTAGTATCGTGGGCTGCTGTATCGATATATCACCAGGAGTATTTTTAGGTATATTTTACTAAATTATTTTGTGTAAGAGCTACAATTGTGTTGCCATTTTCACTGTTTTGATGAGTAAAATGGGTGATTTTCATATTAACTCTGCACAAATTTAGTAAATTTTAAAAGTTTTACTATCACAGGCATGGTTTAGTCTTTGTTCTTCACTGAACTGTATTGAATCGATTTGAGGCCCCATCCACAATAGTATGTATTCGTATCGTTTTTGTTGCGGATGCAGAGTTTTTCCACACTAATCCGATTGAAAACCGCTCCAGAGACGGAACGATCTGGTGCTGCCACCTCCCACGAATTGATCTGAGTACGGATCTGATCTGGCACTGTGTGGACACCTGAAAATGCTGATACACTGCCGCACTGCGAAGTAAAAAACGCTAAGAGGGAAGAATATATGTCCATTCATATATACGGT